TGTATAAAGGCTCAACCAGCAATCTGAAAACACACTTGAAGTTAAAACATCATAGCGTGTATTCAAATTTAACCTAAATATTAATTTAAAACTCGATGTAATATTCAGAGAATCTGGCAGAGAATGCCTTTTCGGCATTCGTTCGCCTATGTACCAAATTGTTTTGTTTGATGATTTGTTTGATGCAATAAAGAATTTTCTATCTATCTATCTAATATTATGGTCACTTCAGTTCCCTGTGAACGTGCTTTTTCGAAAGCTGGGTACCTACATAATAAATGATCGAAGGACAAGACTAACCACAGCTAAAGTGGCACATATAATTTATAATTTCTAAACATTAATAAAATATAACTAACAATCATGTCTACATAGAATTATTACGTATATGTCAACTTAGTAAAAGAAAAAAAGAAAAAATACTTATAAAACATTTATATGAAGAGTAAATACTATATATCTAAAAATCATTGTAAATAATAAAGTAAATATTGAATGAATAAACCTTCAAATACGCCTAGCTTAATAAGACTTTAATTTTAAAGAGACCTGTACCTAAAGTATGAAGAAATGTTTATTGAATAAAATTTCAAGAGTAAAATTTAAGCAATTAAACAATAAAATTAAATATATAATAACTTAAGCAATAAAATTAACACAACCGATTAGAAATAACAATTCACTCTACAAAAGTAAGTAATATTTTTAGCTGTTAATTTTATCTGTTAAAAAAATTAACAAATAACTTTTAACAAATAAATAAATGAACCACGTCTAAAACTTAACGGAGTGTCCGATCGAAAAACGGTTTGCGGCATCTGACAAAACCTCGCTGAACTTAGATTTTCTGTTAATTTAAATCGAATCGTCATGGTAGATTCTACGAAAACCTTGAAAATTCGAGTATTTTAAATTTTCAAAAAGTGATTTTGTTGCAATTACTTCGACACGCTTATTTTGATCTATAATCTAATCAGCTCTTCTATTCAAAAAACGACGTCGTCTAGGCATATAATACAAAAACTAATTTCACTAAATCTTAATTACCTTCCCTAGTATTTATTTCTACAACTTTTTATATATTCCTGCACCGCATCAAAATCGGTTGACTCGTTGGAGAGAATATCGTTGTCGAAAGAAATCTCCGAGAAAGTGTTTTTTCAAAATAACACAAACTGAAAAATTTCCGTCATATCACTTTTTTGTAAGTAATAGGTTTTTTGTTATGCTGACTGACACTTTAAAATCGGTTGATTTGTTCGTGAAATATTCAATTTTGAAAAAAAAAATAATTCAAGCTCAAAAACGTCATAATAGGTGAAATTAGAAGCGGTTTGCATTTGAAACTAGCGGGATCGGGAAGTTCCGGGGATGGCCTGCAGGGTCAAACAAATTTTTTTCACAAAGGAATCGTTAATAAAATCATAAAGCGTATTAGAATATTCGAGTATATTGAGTCTTTATTTTTTACCGTCTTTAAAAAGGAGGAGGTATTCAATACGACTGTATGTTTTATCATGTGTGTTACCTGGTGTTACCTCATTATTTTTTTTCTAGGTAAACCAATTTTGATGATTCTTTTTTTATTTGAAAGCTGGTGCTTCTAGTGTGATCCCACATAAGTTTAATGGTGATCTGACAGGTAGTTTTTGAGTCATGATTAATAATACATATTTAATTGACTTCGAATACATTGATGATATTTTCATTAGAATTATATTAAAGTCGATGGTACAAAATTTTTAATTTTACCACTTGTATTAAAATCGGTTTATACCACAGAAATAGTAATAATAAGACAATAGAAATGAATTAGCGCTCGATTAGTACTTCCAAAACCGATGTCGGCACATCTTGCCGCATTGTAAACATACACAATGCACAATGATATCTAACACATTACATTGCTTGGCGAGTTTGTCAACGTCGCGTGTGTCGCGTATTATGGTAGAACAAAAGCAGCAATGATAATTGTGCAATACGAAAAGTAATAAATGAGTTTACAAAGGTAAATTTCATAGTGATGTATTCATCTAGATGTAAATTAGTTAAAACAATGATAATTAGTAAATACTCAACTTACTGTTGCCTCTATTACTTGAATTACACATCCTTGATGAGTTTTTACAACTGATTATGCTGCAGTTCACCATTATAAATTTATAATAACATAAATTCACGTAAAAAGTTCTCCGCGCAACTAGATCACAAAATGGTGAATGATGTTCGTCAACACATCATAGAGGCGACAAGTCCCGCGTCTATGCGACTTCTATTGTACGATTTCTGTGGTTCACACTTAATGTGACCATACGTCCCACTTTAGGCGGGTGGTTCCCGATTTAAAGGTTGTCCCGCTCTCCCCAAAATACGTTAAAATGTCCCGCTTTGACAAATAAAAGCGTAGCATCAAGCGAACTCTGTCACCCGTGCCATCATTATAACAACGCGCATACCAGGTTTGCCAGCATGGCCTGACTAGTTACGTGATTATTCTGAA